ATGTGGTGTAATTAGACTGATTACTCTCATTAAGTTCTCTGCACAGAGACTTCTAGAACTCCACAGTACTTTTTAAGAAAGAAAAACTTACAGTAGAGACAGATGCTGATTAGCAGCATAAGGTCAGAAGACATTTTCTTCTGACCTTATGCTGAGGTTCTCACAGTGGAGGCTTTTAATGCTACTATAGTTTTTGAACTTGCTTAATAAAGCCTAGGTTTAGCATAAAGGAGATAAGAAGTTAGCAAAATGATGCTGTTGTTTAGATGTTGTGATGGTCTAAATAGCAGAGGCTGCAACACATAAATATCAACTGAAAAGGCAGCGTAAAAGTAAGTCAGCTGTTAGGTTTTAGGATTAAGAGTTAGAAATTAGCTTAGAAACAGGTGAACTGTTAGCATAAACTGAATTAGAGTTGGAAAACGTTGGGGTAGTGGTTAATGCACCGTAATTCTTACACTGGAACAAAGACAGTGGTACAGAAAAAATCAAAAAGCTTTAGCTGTAGCTGCACTGGCAATACAGAGAACGTTAGACCTTTCTCTCTCTCTCTCTCTCTCTTTCTGTGTGTGTGTGTGTGTGTGTGTGCTCGTCACAGCCGACAGCAGCTGTCCCACCTGGGCTGTCAAACGTTTGACATCCCATGATGCAAGTGGGCCAATTAAAGACATCCCACGGGAGCCCTCGGCATTTCACACTTTATGACTGACACACGCACACACACACACAACCACACACACACACACATTGTGTAGCAGCATCTCAGGTGATCTTTAAACCGACTACTTGACTCATCTTTTTCTTACACCGAAGTCCATAGAGAAAATCAACAATCCTACATCAGCACAAACAGCAGTCGTTGAACCATGGTTGTCTTCACAACAGACTTTAAATGTGTTACTTTGTGACTGCACTGTTTGAAATCCTTGGTTCAAGTTCTTTTCTGCTACATAAACGCACCACAGGAGGCAGCAGTGGACCAGCAGGTTTTGTGGCCTTAAGAGCTGAATTCCCCAATTTCTCTATGGACTTTTGTGAAGTATAGTGTATGGTCTGTAGACTGATTAAAAAGCTATGCAGACATTGAAAAAAGAAGTGTTAAATTGTTGTGTGTATATTCTAAAATTAGACTGACATAGATTTTAGTCTCTCATTGAGAGAAACCACAGTTTTCCATCAGGACCAACCGTTGCTGCACTTCTGCCCCTATCACTGAGTCAAAATGTGGTTTTAGAGTTTGGACTTTGAAGAGAATATATATATATATATATATATATATTTTTTTTTGATAAAACAAATAAATGTAGTAGTAGTATTCCAAATCCAATACAACCTGTTATTTCTGAACTTGGCTTCACATATTTGGTTTACTCAGTGACCTAAAGTGTCCACTGGAGGCAGCAGTGGAGCACACAGTCCAGTCAGATTCTGTCTGTTTCATAAACCACGCAGCCACAGGGGTCCACACGGAGCACAGTCTGCTCCTCTTTTGGGGTCCATCGACTCCAAGGGGCCTCATTAACCCCTCGTACAAACTAATGAGGGCCCCTGGGAGCCGGAGTGACACTGTGTTCACTGTTGCAACACAACAGAGAAAAGAACTCCTGGATCACCTTAAACTACATACATACAACTAAATCTTTCAGTTGGTTTTTACTTTAAGATGTTGTATTTTTATGTTGGCTTTTTTCTTCTTCTCCACATTATCATTTTGTCTTTGATCCGATTCAGGTTCGAGTCCACCAGCTGCCAATTTACCACTGAGGTGCTCTGAGCAAGGCCCCGTCCTCCCTCACTGCTCCTGGTTCTTAAAGCTGCCACTGTTCACTGTGGTGATGGGTTAAAAGCAGAGGTCACAGTTGGTTGTGTGCAGTGGTGAACTGTGTCACAGTGACAAGGAGTTCACTTTTCTTTCCTTCCTTTCATTTCCTTTATTGTCCTCTAACCTATCCCAATATTTCATTGTAGTTTTTGTTTGCGTTTGTCCCATTTCTAATGTTTAATTCCTCTCAGAATAAGCCAGGTGCACATGTTCTGCAGTGTAGGTCGGTTCTGTAAAGTTCTGAATCAGGTGACTCCGTGACTCCGGACTGAACTCGTTCTGGTCTGTTTTAAGAAACCAGTTGTTTCTGTCTAAACGCTGATTCAGTAAAACAAACAGACTAAAAAATTCAAAATTTCTAACAACAAATAGCAGAGTACGATGCGCATGCGTCCCGGATAGGCGTGCAGGCACGGGGACTCCTCCTGAGGTTCTCCTCCTCCTCCTCCTCCTCTTCCTCCTCAGCAGCAGCTCCAGCATTAGTGCGCACTGAGCAGCCAGAGCGCACGGTTACAATGAGCTGCTCCATCACTTTCACTGAGAGCCTGCGTCAGAAAAACCGACCTCCGAACCTCACACTTTACCACAGCACCGATACCAGCCTCGACCCGGATCAGGACCGGGACCAGGATCAGCCTGAGCAGCAGCTGCAGCAGGATGCCCGGTGGAAAGAGAGGACTGGTGGCACCGCAGAACACTTTCCTGGAGAACATCGTACGCCGCTCCAGCGGTGAGTGAGCGGGTCAGAACCTGGATCAGAACCAGGGCCAGGATCAGGATCAGGCTTGTGTTGGTCTGCTGGAATAACCTCGTGGTTTCTGTTTGTGTTTTATAAGGATGAGTTGTGAAGCACAGATTGAGTTTCACTCTCCAAAGTCTCTGTTCGTTGTGATAGAAAACTCGAAACTAATTCTTCGTGTTCTTTACTGTGAGGATTAACCACACGGACTGACCAACGGGTGGCGCTTTTAAAACCTGACCCCACTTTTCCCTGCGACAAGATAAGTGCCGAGTTTGTTACAAAAAACTTTTAAAATAATTTCCAACTCATTGATTTATTTAAATCGATTATCTTTTATTCAGGTTTTAGGATACAACTCGGACAAACATCAGCATGATTAAACACAAACACAATAGGGTAAACTCCAATGCGCTTTTAATATTTTATATACTGGATTTTCATCCCGCAACAGTAAACTTCCACCGGAAGTATATGCGGTTAAGTATATTAGACGCTGCATTTTTTAAAGCCTTCTTTAGTGAATTTATGGTTGGAAACAGTTATCGGCGGGAAAATGCAGCCAGTAGGTGGCAGTAATTCAGCTCAGCAAATACAGAGACGCTGTGAATGTCCAGCGCAAAACCGGCCGTGTGCTAATTAGCTCGATTAAACATCGATTTCGTGATGGGAACCAATTTAAGATAATTAAGAAACAGGTACGTTTTTTTCTATCTGTTTAAGTTTTAACAGGAGTTAAATTGTGTACTGCTTAGTGTCCATTTTTGTAAATTCGAAACCACGTATCAAACCGTTAGCCCGAGTAAACGTTTTTATCGTTTGTGTACTTACGGTAAAATATTCCATTAAACTTAATCTTAAATTAATTTAACAAAAAGTTAAAAGCACATTAAAAGCTTTTAAGCTGCATTGTAGAACAACTGGGGAGTTTTTAAACTGCCTTTTTTTGTCAAATGTTTTAAAATTGAGATTAATTGCAGTATATTTGTTAGATATAGTACTTATTTTATCAAAATATTCATGTACCTACTGTAAAATAGAGCTGCATTTTCTTAAAATAACAAGCCAGTATTACAGTACATGATAATATTTTTAATTAAAGGGCAGTAGCTGTGACCTGTGTTTGTTATTCTTCCGTGTGGCTTTAGACATAATTGGTGTAAATTTCTGGCATGCTAATGTTGCCTGTGACCTGTGTGTTGTAACAGACAACAATTCAGGTGTCTCTCCAGATTTCCTTTTTGTTAACCTAAGCTTTAATCTGTGTCATTAGCTGAGAATGAAATGGTCATTTAGCATCATTAGCTGTGCAGTTAGAAATGAACAAACGCGGGCAGTGACCGCAGCCCAGTCATTAAAGCTGAGCTGATCTCCATGACTGTTCCCTCTGCAGACTTAAACACTATTACAGGCCAGCATCTGCTTAATAACAACCAGTGGATCAAACAATTACAACACCTTATAGTTTACTGTTAATTACCTGTCCCACAATGTTGCTGTCATCATTTCAAATGTGTATTTAAACAGTGGTGCGCTGATGCTTATGTAATAAAGACTCTGGGTTTGGGTCAGTGGATCGCAGTGACAGGATGTAGAATTAAAAGTAAGTTAAAACAGAAACATAGAGTTGACTTTCATCATAAATTTCATAAAAAATGATTTAATTTCATTTCATTTGAATGTTTTTTCTTCAATGGTCACTGCTGGAAAGTCATGTGGAGTATCTGTATGTATATACTGTAATACATCTGTGTAGAGGTGCTCAGGTCTCACTGTTGTTGTGGTGACATTTTTTCTTGGTGGAGAAATTCCTAGGTATTTTTGTCACCTTGGGTTTTTAGTTGTTGAGATATAATGAAACAATTGTCTTGGTCAAAACACATAATCTCTGGTCCTGTCTTTATTAGTGCTGCCTTAATTCCCTGGTACATGCTTTAATTGCTGGTACTGGTCTGTAATTCCTTGCCTATGTTTTGTTTTTTAGTCCCTAATTATGTCCTAAATTCCACATAATGTCTTAACTTCCTGATCACATTTTTATTCTTTATACTTTCTTTAGTTCTTACTAATGTTTTTATTTCTGGTACTATTTATTGTTCCTGCGGTGTCACAATGACAAGTAGTTCAATTTCCACTAGTTAAATGTAATTTCTTAAAATCATGTTACTGTCTTTACTTCCTGATACTGTTTTTTGGACTTGATTGTGTCTTTATTTCCCTGTACCATCTTTTGTTTCTGGTCCTGTCTTTGTGTCCTGGTATCAGTCCCTTTGGTAGCACCACACATCTGTCTGTGTTGGTGTGTTAGTGTGTATTTAAGGTGAATGTATTTGAGCGGTTTTCCAATTATTTTTATTCAGTTGCTGATCCATGACCAGATTAATTTGATTTGAACTGTACCAATAGGGATTTACTCTGTTTTTTTGTAAACAGGAGTCAGGTGTTGACACTGTTGAGAAGTTTTTCCCCCCGTTCTTGAAATGAAACAGCTTTTTTAAATACAATTTTAAAAAAATCTCAGAAGGTGTCTCTGTTGGTCAGCCGACTCACCTCTGTTGGCTCCAGAACTGCTGGTCTGCAGAAAAACTCCTGGTTTAACATAATCAGTGTCCTGTGCACTGTTCAGTAGATCAGTTCCAGGTTTGGATCCATTCTCTCTCTCCTTCACTCTCGTGTTCAGGATTGATGGGGGGCGGAGCTGGAACTGTTCCCAGGTGAAAACACCTATTCATTTCCTAACCTGCTCTGTCACCAGAGGTCACCTGGTGGTCTGAATTTTCTGTCCTTCCTTCCTTCCTAAATTGCAGAAACAAACCTCAGGACTGCTCTTTACTGCTGTTCTTTTGTTCTCTGGTGAAGGTGCGGGTTCTAATGCTCCTCAGCTTCTGCAGCTCTGTTACATGTGTGACACTCTTTTTGAGTGGAGTGCAGTCTGAGTCCTTCATCTGAGCTGGTCATCCTGTGGTTAGTCAGCTCTTCAGGTTGTTGTTGTTCTGAGGTGTTGAACAGCATGCGATTGGACGACTGCAGCAGCCTGCCTCAGTCTGAGGGACACAAGACAAACAGTTCTGCAGTAATGCCGAGTTTTTTAAATTTAATTTATTTATATATTTATAGATTTCCGAGGTTTCATGATTTGCTGTTTGTGTTGCTAAAGATGAAAGTGAGTCACTATACTACTGTTTTTTGTCTGATAAGCTTTATTTGATTGTGTGGATGATTTGGTGATGATTAGTTTGTTTTCCATTTGATTAGTAAACCAAAGCCTTCAAAGCATAAGCTAAAATATTTTCCTGACCAGACACCAGGATATTCTGTCTCTGATTAGTGAAATTGTTTTTCCTCCTTTTGTATAATATGATGTTTGGTGCCATGGTGTTATAATGTTGTTTCATTAGTCAGGAATTAAAACAAACAAACAAACAACTTTAGTCTTTGTTAGGGGGCAATTAAAGGCACACGGTTTTGGCAAAAAATAGAACAATTACCTGTCAGCAGTTTGTTGTTGCTTGAAGGGTTACGGTACATTTTAACCACTGTAGATCATTGAAAATATATATATAAAGATACTTTTTGCTAAAACTACAAATAAGATGTAAGAACAATGATTGACCCTGACGTTCTCTCTGTCCCTCAGAGACCAGCTTCCTCCTGGGAAATGCCCAGATCGTGGAATGGCCTGTAGTCTATAGCAATGACGGATTCTGCAAACTGTCAGGTTTCCACAGAGCCGAGGTGATGCAGAAGAGCAGCACCTGCAGGTAAAAGCCTCTCTTTTCCTCATTCCTCATCATATAAGCGTTTTAGATGTACAGCGTTAAAGTGTGCTAACAGAGAAATAAAACCCTTTAAGCTCCTTTGTAATTGCACATGCAGATTTAATCTCCATAATCTTTGGACATTTCTTTCCAAATGTCTTATTCAGCTGCCTCGTCTCTGCATGTTTAATGGTTCCACTGCTTCAGTTCACAATAACAATGTGTAAAACCAATATTTTTCTTTTACAAGAGCAGAGCAGCACAGAGTCATTGTTCTTAAAACTGAAGCCATTCTCTGTTCAAGTGCTGCATTTACACAGTGGGAACCCTTCTCATCCAGTGTCATTTATTATTCAAACAGCTGAGAGAAGAAGAAATGCTCTTTTGTAATTTTCTCTCCTCTGCATTTTTCCCCCTCAGTGTAGTAATAATTCAAACCACATACTTGAGATGTTTATACCATAATAAATTCATATTCCATTTAAGAGCTGCTCTAAAATCATGCCATTGAAGTGTGGACCTCAGCACAGTCCCCCTGTCTGCCAAAAAAGCTCAGCAGCAGAGAGCAGAGATGGCACTGCTCAGTGGAACAAACCCAATTTAGATGTACCAGGAGGCTGCTGCTGCTGCTGCTGTTGCTGCTGCTGCTGCTGCTGCTTCGGGACGGCTTCTTCCTTGCCTGCCACTCAAAACGGTCTAAAATTTGACTCCAAAAGACCGTGGTGACTGAAATACTTTCTCTCTGAGCTGAGCAGGTGTGACGGCTTGGACTGGCTAAAGAGAGCTAAAAAAGGCGTTGTCTTTAGATACTGAGCAGAGAGTGAAAAAGGAAATCAGAGACCTGAAGATGTTTGCATCCACTCTCTGTGAATTGGGTTACAGTGAACCCTGAGAACTGACCCGGAGAGGACAGAAAAGTCCACACCTTTGGACCCACAGAGGTCAGAGGTTACCTACTGTAACTCTGCAGCAATAAAAATTAATGGTGTTGTTGGTTCTCAGCCAATCTTCCTCTGAATGACTCTGTCAGCATAGCTTTAAACTTTCATCAGAATCCCCAGCCATCCACTCTGAGCCTAACTCACACTGTGGCTAAGTCGGTTCATTCCATAACATCTAAATGCAAAAGTCAAGATAGACTTTATCGTAAGATAACAGACCTACAGTGCAGTTTTGATCATTTGTGAGACCCTATGGTGAGGGTCAGAGGTCACAGGTTTTAGTCAATCGCTGGTGTCTGTCTGTCTTCCAGTTTCATGTACGGAGAGCTGACGGACAAGAAGACCATCGACAAAGTCCGACAGACCTTCGACAACTACGAGTCCAACTGCTTTGAAATCCTTCTGTACAGAAAGAACAGTGAGTGCTGACTCGGGTCTTTTTTTCATCTCCTCTCCTGCTGTCTTTTCTCTGTGTGTTCTTAGCTGTTGCTCAACCTGACAGAACTGCACCATCATAGAAAAGACAAGGTATATATACAACAAAGAATTTGCCCTGTAGACCTTGAAAAAGTCAAAGCCACTTTGTCAATTCAATCTGCTTTTGACTTCATATTATAATTTTCACAGCTTCATACCAGGCTCTTACTTCAAGAAAGCTACCTTAAAAGTAAACTTAAAGTTAAAGTGTGGGTTGTTTTCACTCTCAAACTAAAGCCCATAGAGAAAATCAGTGGTTTTAGCTCAAAGAGACACAGAAGTTGTTGAGCCATTGCTGCATACATCACCAAGTTAAAATATGTTTTGGGGATTTTATTGTTAAAAATAATTTATTCATATTAATAGCAGTGATATAAACTGACCACTGAGGGCAGTAGTGGACCAAGAGCTCCTGTGTTTCGTTTAATTAATATCACTGTTTTTATCTATGGATTTTAGATAAGGTCAGATTATTTTATGTGCAAAATGTGTCACACTAAATATTTATGAAATTAATAAAAAGGGAAAAATAGAAGTGTCATTTTTCCCCAACATACACTAGTGAGGCCAAACCTAAACATTGTCATGCATCGTTTATCAGACATTTGTTTTCTCAGTTAATGAATTATTTACATCCAGAAAATGATTGACATTACAGTCAGAGTTGGTTACCCCAAACCTTTAGTTTGTTGATCATTGGTTCATTTTATAACTGATCATAGTTATTTCGGCTTCTGGTGTGAGTTAAAGAATGTTAATTTTCCTAGTAAAGTCAGGAACCAGCAGCAGCAGCAGTTAATGTTCTGAGCAGAGAACATGGAGTTCCTTCCCTCTAGTGTGTCGACCTCCTGAAGTCTAAGTCTGCGGAGTTTAAACAGCAGCTTGGGATCAAACTGTTCCTGGTGATGATGGCCAGGATCAGCAGGTGGAATGAAAATGTCACGGCAACACCACATTTTTCACTTATTATATTCATGCAGAGAACAGGTCACAATAAACTCAAGAATCTGTGTGGCAGCAGTGTGTTGTTGTGTTGTGCAACACAGAGTTGTGCTTTAAGAGGCTGTAGTTGTGTATCAGGGTGTGCAGAACTATTGTAGTGGAGGAACAGAAAGGCCAATCAAGTTAATTCCTGTATTTTTGTTATTACTTTAATAGCAAAATTGCATTGATTAGTAATGTTGTTTCTTTTGTTCAAAGAAGAACAATTAGTGTTTTTGCTCATTGAACTTCACCTTTAAGTGTGTTTTGGGCAGGTGGAGTGAAGAGGAATGAGTGAGTGTAAAGTAGGTCAGAAAGATCTAGAACTCAGTCAGTGATGTCTATGAGGAAGGATTTTAAACAAAAACAAGTGACAACTGTAACACAGAGCCAGTGAATCCTCAGTCTCCAAAAGATGTGTCACAACATTATGCTTTGATGAAACCACAAAGTTTCACTATTGTCTATCACATCTCTCATTACACATTTTTCCTGTTTTACCCATTTGTTTAATATTTTCTGATGTCTATGATGTCTATATCTGGAATTTTCTTGGAGAAAAAAGTAAAATGTTACTTTGGCTGCTAAACCTCCAGGATAACAACTCAGCACTTGTTTGAATGTAATTCTACTTGCTTCTCCCTAATTAAATTAAATATAATAACATTTTGTGATGACATCAGCTCTTTCAGATCTTCACAGATTTCATGACCCATGTTATAGAGACCTTGTGCTGTTTTTGCAGGAAGTCCAGTGTGGTTCTACATGCAGGTGGCTCCTATCAGGAATGAGAATGACAAGGTGGTTCTGTTCCTCTGTACCTTTAAAGACATCACACTCTTCAAGCAGCCCATTGAAGACGAGACCACCAAAGGTCAGTGTTTCAGTGTTTTGGGAACCACTGTTCTAGTCTTTAAGGGTAGCAGATAGATATGAAAAATAAGAAGTATAAGAGCCAAATTGACATTAGGGGTATATTAAGAGAAAACATTTACAAGAATAAAGTTCATGAGAATAAAGTCAAATGTTTGTGAGAATAAACTATATTGTTTCCTCTGCCTCGACTACTCCATCATAATAAATATATCCAGTTGTCAACAAACAGATCTAAAAAATATAATTATTATGTCTAATATTATTTGATAAAATGGGGTAAATTGTGTGTAATTGTAACAAAACCTTTAATTGAATTCATTACATTTTTAATTGTGTTCCACCACTATATATGTGAAACGAAACATGACAATTTAAGGCAAACATTTTTTTATTCTTTAGCTGTAGAAGCATAAAAGTATTAAGGCAAAGAAAACAGAGAGTAGAAAAACTTAAACCAGGCATCAACAACCATCACAACAACAGCTGACGACTACTCTCAGTAATTACTGTAGTCAGGAGAAGTCACTCCTTTATCTCTGCTCCTCCCTCCCTCTGAGAACATCTGTCTACAAATCTTTGTGGAACCGTGCAGAGCTGTCGGCTGGTGTTTGCGAACGTGGAGACGCTGTCGGCTGAATCATGGCTGATGTGGGCGGTGGCATCACTGTCGTTGTTGTCCTGAGTCTGTGAGTGATTCACAGTGTCAGCTTCCTGCCCTCGCAGTCATTGTCAGTGTTGCTGAGTGGGCGTGTTTGCCCTTTGAAGTAAAACTCCGCCTACGTATTTCCTATCATCGATAAACAAACATGGAAATACATACAGTGATCCCCTCCTCCTCACCCCTCTTCTCCAATACTGACCCCTGCTGGGAGCTGCCCTTAGGTATTCTATTGGTTATTTCTTCATCGCATGTTCAGGGACATATTAAATACAGGATGAACACTAGTTTTTAGTAAATGTCACATCAGTGTGTCTTAGGGTTTAGTCTCAACAAAAATCTGTTCACCTCACTTGAATACTTAATTTACTTGATTGGATTCCGATTGCACATTTTAGGGAGACCTGTTAATGGCTGGTTCGTGTCACATTTCCTGGGCTTTTTAAATTATTATACCTTATATGCATTTAAGTTCAGTGTGTTTGACATCTGTCATTTTCTGAGACTGTTAGGAATTAAACCTAGACGTGTGTCCTTGGATATGACCCCTCACCTCAAGCTGTTTATTGCCCCCCAGGCTGCAGGTGCAGCTTCAAGTAGGACCCACTGTTCCAAAATGGGTAGCCATATGAAGCCAGCTTCACTGCACATCTGGACAAAGGGCTGTAGGGAACACTGTCTGTTACAGAGGTTCATTTTGCAGGTTGATCATTTATTGACAAACATTTGTAGTAGTGTCGGTATTTGGTAATTCGAAAACTCAGCAAATCACATCAGAGGTGAAACAAAACGCACACAAGAGTAGTTTTAATCTCCCCAGGTGCAGTTAGTATCTACCGAGTGGGGTTTGGAGTGGTTTAAATTGAATCCATTAACTACTCATGTGGTCACAAGTTGTGGTTCCTAAGACCAGACCACAGACCTCAGAGCAGCGGCATCGATCAACATCAGTGCAGGGAAAGTACCAAACAGTAAAGCTAAACAAGTGTCAGGGCAGAAAAGTCAACAAGATGTTGATTTACCTCAGAGAGAGGCTGAGTTCAGGCTCTGCTTTGTCAGCAGGTGTAAAAGCTTCACACAGGCGTGTTTTCTCTTTGCCTGAGGCCAGGCCTCATTTCAGGCAGACAGCTGATCAGGATGAGTGACGGAGCACAGACGCCTCAGGCAGACAAACGGCTTCACCGCCAGGATTTATGAGCTTTCACAGCAACGGCATCATTTACAGCTGCACTCCTACTTCAGATGAATTATAGTCATCTTACTCTCTCTAATGTCTGTCAATACATCCAGAAAATAGGCCTCGTTTCACCAACAGAAAGAAAACCATTATCTTCTTAAAGAAAGCTGTTGTTTAAATAAATTAGGTTAAAAACAGATAATGAGTCAGAGGTTGAGCATACAGCACACCTGCAGAAGCTTTTAAGTGAGAGGTGGATCATTTTCAATGTACACTGACACAATTATCCAAAATATAGCCAAACACTGCCTGGGGATAACTTAGAAATGAGTCAAAACATATATAAAAATAAGCCAAAATTACCTTGAAGTTAGGACTAATAGGAAGTTGGTGGGTTGGCTGAACTTGGTCAGAATAAATAAAAACTGTAGGAATACCTTGAATCTGCTAAAAAGAGCTAAATATTAGCCAGTAGATGACTAAAAACATAGTCAACATATAAATAGGTTTTCCCAAAATCAACTAAGTATTGGCTAGAGCCCAGGAATGTTAAAGCTAGCACAGTTAGCTCATATGTTTCACTCAAAATGTAGCTAAAAGAGGACGCCCTGCATCACAAAGCTACAGAATAATAATATTTTAGTCCAACATTCAGTCGATGGTTCCGTGAGAACAGGAGCAAGTTCAGGTCAGAATCAAAAATTCACTGGCTCTGCTTCTTCTGTTATTTTTAGCTGCAGTGTTTTTAATTTCTACCTCCATTGTGCTCCAGTGATGCATTCTTAAGGGAACTGCTGCAGGCAACATTGTTATTAACTGTGGGGGTAAAAAAAAGACTCCTATTTACTTGTCCTGTGCTCTTTATGTTTGGCTCTTGCTGCCTCTCACGTGTTCTATTAACACAACGGCTGTGGTGGCAGCGACTTCTAACTGCTGGCATTTATTCAACAGCCATGCCACTAAGACACTCGCGGTTTTGACTTAAGGATAAAAGTGGCTGCAAGTCTGAAAAGGAACACATCAGTGGTTTTCAATGCCAATGCCCTGCTATTATTCTTGAACACATTACTGCATTGTACTGCTCTATAATGGATGCTGCACCGCCAAGTGAATTATGCAACTGCTGCAAATGTAAAGAGCATATAGAGAAAAGAAAGTCCAGACATTTGCTTAAGTAAAATGGCATGCTGAGATGTCTCTCCTTCAGTTGATGGCCTGCAGTTCAGCAGTATCCTCAGAAAGAGTTGGAATGCATTAGCTTTTAGCATGTTTATGTCTTTATCTGTCATTTCCGTTTGTATTTTTAAATGACATCCAGACAGTTCACCCAAATTTACCTTTTTACAAGCTTTGTGTTTGGATTTTTTTTTTTTGCAAAAAAATCTATGATGTTATTAAAAAATCATTTATATTTAGGGATTGATTAAAAATATTCTCTATAAAAAATGTCTTTATGAGATGGACAAATATTACACAAGCCATTCCTGCCCAGTTATAAATCTCTGGATTTTTAACGCTCCCATTTGTTTATTCAATTTTAAGCCAGGTGAGAAAATAGTTTGTCATTAGAAATTATATTTTTATACTACTGCTATAATATGTTTGTTTCTGTCCACAAGCAGCAAAAGCACCATAGCTACACTCCAATGTCTTTTTTTACCTAGTTAGTTTTCTGCTAAGTCGCTGCATGTAATCTTTTTAAAACCACTGTCATTATTGACCCTTCAACATGGCGTTTACTTAGCTAAACTGTTTACTACCTGAATCATGCTGACTTACATTGTCATTGAGTCATAACTGAGACATTAATGAAGCTACGCAGTAGCTGGAATCACAAGTCAATGCTGAGTCGCTGCTTTAGATACACTGTAATCTTCTGTATCACTGAGTCGTAACTGAGTCATTATTGAAGCTACGCTATTTTCTAAACCTGAGCCACTTAGCTTGTGCTGAGCCAACGCTATGTTGCTGCTTTAACTACAAGTCAAGACTCATTAATGAATCTACCCTCTCTTAAACAAAGTTGCTATTTATCAACATTCACCGCTCAAGTCACTGAGTAAGTGCTGAGTCACTGAGTCATACTTGAGTCACTAAGCTACACTGTCCTCAGCCTGAGTAATTAAGTTGATGCTGAGTCATTGATGAGCCACAGAGTCATAACTGAGTCATTAAGGAAGTTACTACATTGTTCTCATCCTGAGTCACTCAACTGACTCACTTTTTTATTTTTTTTATATATATTTAATTTTCTCAAACAAAAATATTAATAAATATACGTTAATCTCTTACCACTCTATTAAACAGTGTTTCAGATTTGACTGAAGGTCAACATCCGAGGCTGTGTTAACCCTGAGGTGTTTGTGTTGTTACTGTCTCTAAACAATGTATACACTCTCTCGCTCTCTTGTTCTCTCTCTCTCACACGCTCACACACACAAACACAAAGGCCCTTTCCCGACAGGAAGGACATTAGAAAAAAAAAAGCCATCTAAG